TAGCTATTACCTTGACACCAAAGAAGAGTTCGACCCAATGCTTTATTTCTGTCCTAGTTGATCCTGATTCGACATTAGAAGTATATTGATTTTTCCCCAATAACCGAATACTTTTGTCTGTAAATACTGCCCATGTCCTTCATGGATCTAGGAGTTCATACGAATAATGGCTAGCGGGCGCCGCCGCATATGTAGAAAAAGAAGGAGCGGAGAAGGAAGAACAACCGTTTGACTTTGGCACATGAGGTGGCCATCCTTCAGAGACTACGAGTGTAATAAGAGCATCCGTCGACAAAAGGATCACCCTAAGATGATCATCTCGTGGCTATTGAGAACGAATTAAATCAGATGGTTCAATTGGAGGAGGGAAATCTTGATAGAATTTGAAAAAGCAAACGACAAGTTGCAATGTACAATGATTCATCGAAATAATGAGTCACCATTGATATCGACACATCTGAGATCGCCAAATGCTCGGGGCCTTAGCTGGTGATCCGGGCTCTTTCCCTCTCGACGATGAAGCTTATCCCCCATCGTCTCACTAGCCGACCTTGCCCGAATGGATCTCTTAGTTGTTGAGAAGGTTGCCCAAAAGCGGTATATAAAATAAGTTTTGGCTAATGTGATAAAGATACCAATTAGTGGCAATCCACCTATTGGTGTGCTGCTGCCCTCAACCGACCTGATCGTCCCAATCCGGTTGTCCTCACTAAGGCCTAGCAGGCAAAGATTTACCTCCGTGGAAAGGATGATTCATTCGGATCGACATGAGAGTCCAACTACATTGCCAGAATCCATGTTGTATATTTGAAATAGAATCAACTTGAATTCGGGACCGCTATTCGAAATCTTAGTGAAACACTGGATTTCTTATCTCATGTCTGCTTTTCGTGAAAAAATACCAATTGAAGTGGAGGGTTTGGATATTTTGAATACCAACTAAGATTTAGAATACTAATAAATCACATAATATAGACAATTAATAATAATTAGCTTTCTGATCATGAAACTTTTTAATATTATACACATGCTCAAAATTGTCAATTGGATTATAAACAAGTACACTATTTTTGTTCTAATATTCACTATATGTAGGTACTTATAATTATTTATTAGATAACCTGATAATAAAAAGAAAAGGAAATTTTTTACACTATCATGTCCATTTCTTTTAATTCTCGCCTGATATCTGACTGAGACATGAATTAATTCAAATTCGCATCATAAATATTTCTTATCTAAACTAAAAAAAATTTATCAAGATAGGAGAAATGCTATACATTGTGCTATCACTTCTATGTTAAAAATTGACCCATTTCTGAATGTTATGTTAATACGACAGTCAAACCTCTCTATAACAACCTCGTTTGTGCCGGATACTTTTGGATGTTATAGCAAATTGCTGTTATGGAGAACATATATTATAACAAAACATGACATTTGGTTCCGAAAAACTTACTTTTATAGCGAAGTGCTATTATATAAGGATGCAGTTATAGAGAGATCTGACTGTATATTCCCTTCGCTCTACTTTAAGTGATTTTTTGGTTTTTTTTATGATCCACAGTATTTGATTTTTCCAGATATCAAAAAGGAATTAACATCTTTTTTCCAAAGTTGCCCTTGAAGTAATTTGTTATATTTCTAATGAGCAAATATTGAGCCCGTTTGGACATACAAATTTTTTTATTTTTTTCAAATTGTTTTTTGAAAACAATGTTTGGTTATCCCATTCTTACCAATTTTTCCTTTTTCACTTGAAAATCCATTTTCAAATTTGAAAACTGATTCTCACCGGTTTTTCAATTGAAAATGGGAATTTGCTAGTTTTTAGTTTTACAAATTTACCCTATATTTTTAAAATTTATAAAATGACCCAATCAGTTTTTCATTTTTGGCAGATACATCTTTGGCGATTGATGGTCAGTCCTAGTTTATACTTGAACTCTGCCTACTAGAAGTTTGATTATATGGTTATGAGAAATATGTGGCTATACCTGTTTTTGCACCTTCTCTGTGTGTTAGTAGAATTAGAAAATGTGATATTGATTTTGTATCTTCTGTGTATTGCAGTAAAGCAGAATATGATAACAGTTAAACAATAACATTTTGATTGTTTATTTCAAGTAGAATAATCAAATTAGGGTGGTTTGGTTATTATTTATAAGATGTGAGGTATAAATCATGTTTCATGATTTTGAAAAAATAGACATCCAAATATGTTGCAAAAATTATAACCAAACACAACTTCATCTTCAATTCAAATTTTAGTGAAATTCCAAATTTAAAAAATAAATAAATTGGAATTCATGTCCAATTACATGACATGAATTGTTAATTAATACTTAAAAAATCACTAATCTCTCTATATATAAAGGAGCGCATGGAAGAGATGACTTGGCACCTCTCTTAGACCAAGAATCACATTTATCTATTTTTTCAGATTTTAGGGGGTTTTTTCTACCTTTTCCCTTTATTTTTCTTGTTTTAACAAACCTTAAAGTCACGTCTCTTCATGTCAATTAATGAAAAATGAGAAAAACAGTGATATGTTAAAAACCCAGTCATTGCCTTACTTTAAATAACTAGTCACCTTAAAAACAGTTTTCTCATTAGTTTTTAAATAACTACACCTTAAATATCTTTTGTAACCGTCACTACTTTAATTCTCTAGCCTCAAATATACAATCCTTAGTATTAAAGGATGAATCGTCGTTTTCCTCTAACAGCTTTGAACCAATCATTTTTGTGGAAGATTATTTACCAGGGAGATGGAGTCTCTTTTTGAGTTTCGACTACACTTGTCTTCCTCATTTGCTAGCTTTGTTGCCAAGGGACGTGAATTATTTTGCTTCAGTTTTGGAGTTTTCATCTGATGCTTGAAAGTGGAGATTTTAAAAATAGATTCGTTTATTTTATTTTCACGATCTTTTTACTCTCTCTGTTGTATATGGTTAGAGTATAATTGTTCAAATCTATTATTTAATTCGTTACCAGTTATTTTGTGTTTCACTCGATACACATTCCTTATTATTCATATGGCTCTCCTTGAAAACTTTGTACGTTTCCTTACATCAGTACATGTATTTCCTGTGTGGTGATTTGCAAGGCCTGCAAGGATCGGTGTAATTGCCGAATACCGACGAAAGAGTCTCAAGGAGAAGTTCCAAAATACAACATCTATTGAAACCATTGACATCATTTCTTTTTGTACTCTATGTGTCTTTGGAGTTAGGGTCTAATGGAACCTGACAATGGAAGTAATGTAATTGCTTTGGAACAACTGATCAAAGGTCTAGATTCTGAATACTGACTTTAAATTTTAATTTCTATGTTATTTTGAATTGATTTCCTTTTCAATTTAGGAAAAGAAGTTGCTAAATATTCTTTAGATCTGGTATTTTTCTAAGTCTGTATGATAAGTTGTAAAAGGTATCCCTTGAAGGGCAGAAGTCTTGGATAAAAAACAATAAGTAACGACGTATGTTTTACATAATCGTGTTTATAAGCACTATATTTCACCAATTGCATCGGTATTTAGGATCACATAGAATATCTTGAGGCTTAGTTGATCTTTTCATATACGCTATTCTAACTATGCGCTCAACTTTAATTCTTGCGCATCTACTTGCTCCATCCTTTCCTATTCTCTTCTCTTTTTTCTTTTTTTGCGATCTTCACTAGCTAGAGAACTAATGTTGTGATTCTAATGTCGACCTAAAGGGTGAAAGAAATCCTGAAGGGTGACGATTAACAGAAGAAGAATGTCCCAAGCAATTCTGAATCTAGATTATCATTGACTTAATTTTTAGTAAAAATTTTTGTTGTTGTTTATTAATGGGTCTAGATTATTTACACTCAACATTAATCTTATTCAATGATGAATTTTACAAACCTTCATGTCATGAAGTGTCTGACAGTTTAAGAAGCACTATAGCGTATACCATGAAATTGAATGCTATGCTTTTCGTGTACCCAAAAGTAAGAAGAAACTACAATTAATTATTTGAAATGATCAATTAATATTGAGAAGACAATTACATCAACAAATAAACGTTACGATGGGAAATATGTAAAAGACAAAATTGAAAAGGCCTTTTCAGCTATTCATTAAAATTTAGAGGCTCTTGAGATATTCTTAGTATATATTTGCTTTCACAAGAACCTACCTTTTCGTTATTTTCAATAATGGGGATATAAAAAAAGGATAATTCGTAGTTTAATGATATTATTTATTACCGCGGATAAATTACCTAGTAATAATAAAATAGTAAGAAGTCGGTTCCAATCAGTGGATAAACATTTTTGCACAGTGGACTGTCCACTTAGAACAAGAAAAAGACTACTGTTCAAGGTTATTAACTCTACAATGTCGTTCCCTCGTTTTCTCCGCAGCGCCATTAAAACCAGCCGAATCACATCACCATCAAAGTTTGCCCTTTCATCAGCAAGATCAACACTCTTTGCTACTTTTAATGGCGATTGCAATCGACGACCCTTTTGTTCCGATTCCAAGAATTCGACTTCCGAATCCGAGAAGAGTACAACAGCATCAGCATCATCGTACTACCATCTAAGCGGTGGGCCATCTCATATGCGTGCTGCTGTGTTTTGGGAACCGGGCAAACCCCTGACCTTTGAAGACTTTCACATGCCCCGCCCTAAAGCTAATGAAGTTCTCATCAAAACTAAAGGTGATTACTTTTTCTACTCGTTTACCCAAGAAAATGTGATCTAAGAGAACAAAAAGGATTTTTGAAATTTGTGATCTAAATAATCCTTGGATATTTTTGTAGCTATAAACCTCTCATTAATGGTAAAATGGAAAGTCTAAAGTAATTTTTTCTTAATATAGAAATGTATCTTTCTGAATAACTAAAAAGGAGAGTGCATTACATAAATTGGGACAGATGGAGTCGTCTTTGGAGAAT